TTTTTCCTTTTTTTTTATTTTGCATTTTATCTGTGCAATTGATAGCCCCTGCGTGGGCGTGTTTTATTGCCTTTGTTTTATACTGTTTAAAAAATTAATAAAAACCATTGAAATAGAAATAAGTGGTCTAGCAGTCCGCAAACAAAAAAAAAAAAAGAAAAGAAAAAAAAACCAAAAGTGGCAGTAGCAATAATGACCATGCCAATATTTTATTCAATAAAATTACTGTTAGCTTACAATTACTCTATAACTCCAACACAACTTTCTTTGTTGAATTTGTAGAACAACAAACAGCTGTCAGACACGCACTGATTTTTTTTTTTACTGCCCGAGGAAGACTGCATTAGGCATACTGGCTTAATTTGAGTGCTGGCTAGAATGATCAGAAGCTCTGAGGGCAATAAATCTGCACTAACAAGACAGCTAAACAAATTCTCCTCACTGCACAGCCTGGAAAGGGGATCTGTGACTAGTGACAATTCTAAAGTTTCCTGCTGTACATCCAACGTCCACTCTTCTTTATTGTAAATGTCACAGGATCATTGTCAATAGCAACTGCAAATCTTAACACCCCTTTCACATGGACGGACTATGCCAACGGATCCGCCTGGTCAGCTGGGCGATCTGTCCGCTGCTCCTCACTGAGCAGGCAGATGACAGGTCCATGTGAGCAGGTCTTATACAGAGTAGACACGGCCCACTGTCCTCTATGGGTGGTCAGATGTAAATGGACCTCCCATGGAAGGAGGGCAATGGATGGTCCGATCGGGTCTGCCTGTCCATTTTTCAGTCAGCCCGTGTGAAAGGGGCCTAATCATGTAGTACTGGATTTGTGTTATCTTCACATGCACACAGATGTTCCATATTTAAATTGCATCAACAACCATCCTAATCGGAACCCCCTTCTACCCCCTGGCCCAATAACTGCTACCTGGGCTGCTATGACTGTTATGCCACCAATCCAAACACTTAAAAGGTCAGGTCACCTTTTCAGAAAAAATTAAAAGGTGAACACTCCCAAAAGCCTCATCACCCACGCTGGTGCCCACTGTATTTACCTCTATGGGTGATAAGCTGTTAGTGCCTATGCTGCCACCAGTGTAGTGGTCCTGAAATTTGAAATCCACGCTCTTCTACCCCTTCTTTCTGCAGGGATTTTGGGATAAATCAGAGTGATGCTCTGTGATGGTACTGACCATTCAGAGTCCATCTGATTCTTCCCTGCAGCTCTGCAGCAAGAAGGGGGAGAAGTGCAGAGATCTCAAACCCCCGGATTGCTGCACCAGCTGCATGGGCACTTACCAACTCACCACTCAAGGAGTGAAGTACAACAAGGACCAGTAAGGTGTTAGTTCACTTTATGTATTTTTTTTTTTTTTTTTTAAAGGTGAACTTACACCTTAAGGTGCATTTAAACATTAGCATTTATGATGATGAGCATTTTGATTTTGGAGCATTTTTTTTTTTCAGATATTTTCAGGCTAGGTTAGTCCAGAGCATTTTTGTTTTAGCCAATGGAAAGCTAGTTACGAGGAGGAGACGGTTGATTGGCTTCATATTCAAAAAAAATAGCTCACGTACCTTATGAGCTGTAGGCGAGGAGTTTTGGGCACCTGAGAACTCCTATATAAACATAAAGAATTTAAAAGCATGAATCAGGCTATATACTGTACTTAGTGTCAGGGACCCTAGATCTTTCCACGATCACGCACGGGTCTGCGCATGCGCGGTATGCCCGGCCGCACTAGCGTGCAAGCATTGGGATCTGGGCACCCGCGACAGCAGTGGCGGTCGCGCATGCACACTCGTGATCGCGGACGCACGCCTGGCACCAATCAGGGCGCAGGGCGCCCTATTTAAACAGGTCAGGTCTGTGCACTAATTGCCGTATGGTCTTATCTGTATCCTGTGTTCCTGAATTAGATTGCTTTGTTGCTGACCCTGCCTGACCTTGATTTGCTGACTGTCTCCTGCTCTGATCCCTGGCTTGCCTGACCATTCTCCTGTCTAATCCTGCACGTTTTGATCACCTGTTACCACACCCGGCTTGTGACCAGTTTATCCTTCTGTCTACTGTTTTGTACCGTTCTACCTCCACCGCTACTGACCCGGCCTGCCCGACTCTGCTTTTTCTACCTCCTTACATCAGGCTCTCACCTGCTATACACCTCCGGCCAGTGCTTCTACCACAGCTGGGTGCACCCAGGGGCCGCGACCTGGTTTCGGCCTGTTCCAAGTCAGTCCCCACCATCAGGGGCCTTGGTGAACAAGCAGGTCGGGGCTTTGATTCCGCGCCTTGGGGAATTCCGGTCTGTGGAACGCCAGAGGCTACCGCCGGCAGGTCCTTAACACTTCGCCTGTCTTGGTACAAATATGTTCAACAAAACATATGAACAGGCTTGGACAATAAGGCTGGCCATACACTACACAATTTTCTTTAGAAAATTGCTATAGATTTACCAAAAACCATATAATATGAGGTCAAACCTAAACAACACTTTCAATTGTATCCAATTAGGCAGGCCCTTGCACTACACAGTTGAAGGTAAATCTAAAGAAAATTGGGCAGAAATTGGACAGAAAATTGTATAGTGTATGGCCAGCCTAAGACAAAGGCTATCTGCAAAGTTCTGCAGCCTACAGGATCCAATAAGTGATATTCCACAGGACTGATGCCAGCAAAGTAAGCACTAACTAGCTGCTATGGGTTATTGCACTTTATCCACAACCTCTGCATTATGCATTGCTGTATTGATTAACCCTTGTCTCTTTAGATCTGTAACAGCAAATGACCAATCAGGAAAAAGAACAGGATAACACACTTATCTACCTACCATAGGAGCATAGCTAGATATGCGCCCCAACCTTTATCTGACATCCATGAAAAAGAAACATGGTTTCCCTCACTTGACCCTACGCCAGGAAGCATCATCCTATTTCAATGACCCACCAAAACTCACTTCACCAGAGACGGACCTCCATTCCACAGGAGACAGATATAACCGATGTCCTTGTATTACGTGTTGGACTTCAAAGTATCTCTACAGGCAAAATAATAAAATCTGTTTATAAAAGGCTACCATAATGATAGTACAACAAAAAGTGTGCTTTTTAATTATACTTATACACTAAACTGCCTGGTCATCTTGCCGATTACATGCTTCCTACCCTAGTTCCACCTCCGGCCCAACAACGCTTTACTACCACAACAGCATTGCTTGCCTCGGATACTTATTCCATCGTGTATGCACTGGAATTATTGGGGGGAATAGGTGATGGGGAAAGAGAGGGACCTCCTGATGTATGATTGCTGATCCTCAGGTGAGTGTATGAAACTACACAAAGGAGGGCTCAGAAAGGGCGTCACATCTAAAAAAGCCTTTTTTTTTTTTTCTTTTTTATGTCCGTGGAGGTGCAAAAAAACAGAAAAACCCAGTAAGTGTATAAAAAGCATGCAAGTGTACAACCCACACAAAAAAGTGCACTTAGAGGTGTGCTTTGTCAAACCCCCCAAAGGGGTAGGACCTATACCCTGGTCCCCCGAGGGCGCAAGACTCCTAACAGCGACAAGGTTTCCAACATGGTCTGCCTAGCCAAAAGGCCTGGCGGACCCCTCTCCTTGTGGTCAGCCAAAGCCAACCACCGAGTACTAGTCGAAGGGCTCTCCTGAAGATGGTCCCCCTTGAGGACTCATGCTTTCCTTCCTAGTGAAAAAAAAAAAAAAAACACACACACATAGGTGAAAGTACCAAAAGAGTGGAGGGAAAAGAATTATGTGGCTGTGCACTACTGCACTGACTAGGCCCTGAGGCCTGGTAGCAAAAATTGCCCCGGACTTAGCCAAAAGACCTAGCCCTAAAAAGGCACAGTATTTGGAACTGTGACCATGTGCACACGTTGCGGTCCCACACCCAAGTGTTACTAGAAGCACCCCTGAGGCGACTACTCCCAGGGGGGTGCGCACCGCAGACTCTCTGCCTCCCCAGTCCCCTGGCCAAACAAGGAAGACCCATTCAGATTAAGAGGAACTGGGCCCCCTCTGGTTTTCCCAGGGGAATTACTCCCGGGCCCCAGCAGCCTGTGGGTGCCTCGGTTTTTGTTTCAGCTGGTACTGATCTTCAGAGCCCCCATCATACCGTACAGCCAGCCATTCTGAACCAAAAGGCAAGAATGATGGCAGAGCACCCCTACTGGACACTAATAAGAACAGATACTACATGATCTTAGCCAAAAGCCGAGAAGCCAATCCATCTCTTTAGATGGGCATCCATCAAGGCATTTTGAAACTTGAACAACTCTCCCCAAGAGCCAGCCCACTACTTGCATCAGGACTGGTAGCTCTTGAGAGGAGAACTGAGGCAAGGTGCTGTGAAGTTTTTTCTTTTTAGAAAGCTATGTACAGCACCCTGTCAGTTCCTCCCCCCGTCACGATCTACCTCAATTGCATAGAAAAGCACTAAGACCCAGTGCTGATATTACTGAGTCTATTAAAAAGTATGTAATGAAAAAAAAGATTGCATGTAAAAATTCCATTAGAATCATTAATACAGTGGTGTGTGTGCATATATGCAGCACCAGTATCTAGGACCTGGCAGGGCATGTATGGCTTTGCGCATGCAGAGAAATCCCAGCGCTCTTCTGCACAAGCGCTGCCAGCTTCTTGCTGGTTGCCAGTACACCGTCCAGCAGCACTTGTGCTCACACACAGAAATCCGTTGTGCACTAATGTGCTTCACAGTTGCGGCTTACTAACACACTGGGGGTTATTTATTAAAACTGGTGCAGCTCTGCATAGAAACCAATCAGCTTCCAGGTTTTTTGTCAAAGCTTAAAGTGTTACTAAACCTAAGCCCCTCCATTGACTATATCTGGTCTCCCCGGACCCTGCATTCACTATATCCGGTCTCTCCCCGGACCCTGCATCCACTATATCCGGTCTCCCTGGACCCTGCATCCACTATATCCGGTCTCCCCAGACCCTGCATCCACTATATCTGGTCTCCCCGGACCCTGCATTCACTATATCCGGTCTCCCCGGACCCTGCATTCACTATATCCGGTCTCCCCGGACCCTGCATTCACTATATCTGGTCTCCCCGGACCCTGCATTCACTATATCTGGTCTCCCCAGACCCTGCATTCACTATATCTGGTCTCTCCGGACCCTGCATTCACTATATCCGGTCTCCCCGGACCCTGCATTCACTATATCCGGTCTCCCCGGACCCTGCATTCACTATATCCGGTCTGCCCGGACCCTGCATTCACTATATCCGGTCTGCCCGGACCCTGCATTCACTATATCCGGTCTGCCCGGACCCTGCATTCACTATATCCGGTCTCCCCAGACCCTGCATTCACTATATCTGGTCTCCCCGGACCCTGCATTCACTATGTCTGGTCTCCCAGGACCTTGCATCCACTATATCTGGTCTCCCACAGTACACAGAAATGCAATTATTTTAGTAAATATAAACTGCTAAATACCTTTTCTCCTCAGCAGTATATAGCAGTCCTGTGATTCTATTAGTCTTTAGCTGAGCACTGGTTAAAGCTTGTAGGAGGAGTTTACTTTCTGCTCTAGGAGGATGGAGAACCCCTGACCTCTGTCTAGACAGTGCTGATTGGCCCTGTGCTGATCACATGCACTTTCCCAAGAAGAAAAACAAAAAAAAAAACCTCTCTAGCAATACACACCTGACCAAACTGAGCATGTGCAGAGTGTCTCCACACGGTATGTCTTATCAGGGGATAAAAGGGGGACAATGGAAGAAGGGGAGGATCAGAGAAGACAGGATCACATGGCATTTTTACACAATGCAGAGGATTAACCCCTTAGGTTCCACAGTGAGTATAACAAGCATGCTTTACTGCATATACAGACTGATTTTACTGTTGTGGGTTTAGTAACACTTAAATTGAACAAGATGAAGTCAGAAGCTGACTGGCCGACATGCACAGCTGTACCAGATTCTGAGTGCACTAGTTTTAGTAAATCTTCCCTCCACTATCTCCAGGGATAGCTGTGATGTACCTATCCTTGGAGGCAGCAGAACCTGACCCAGGCTAGAAAACCTGGAAGTGCTGCATTGCAGAAAGGACATACAGTGGGGATCGAAAGTTTGGGCACCCCAGCTAAAAATTTGTATTAATGTGCATAAAGAAGCCAAGGAAAGATGGAAAAATCTCCAAAAGGCATCAAATTACAGATTAGACATTCTTATAATATGTCAAGAAAAGTTAGATTTTATTTCCATCATTTACACTTTCAAAATAACAGAAAACAAAAAAATGGCGTCTGCAAAAGTTTGGGCACCCTGCAGAGTTAATATCTTTGTACTGCCCCCTTTGCCAAGCTGAGACCTGCCAGTGTCATGGATTGTTCTCAATCATCGCCTGGGAAGACCAGGTGATGTTAATCTCAAAGGTTTTAAATGCCCAGACTCATCTGACCTTGCCCCAACAATCAGCACCATGGGTTCTTCTAAGCAGTTGTCTAGAAAAACTGAAACTGAAAATAGTTGACGCTCACAAAGCTGGAGAAGGCTATAAGAAGATAGCAAAGCGTTTTCAGATGTAAATATCCTCTGTTCGGAATGTAATTAAGAAATGGCAGTCATCAGGAACAGTGGAAGTTAAAGCAAGATCTGGAAGACCAAGAAAAATATCAGACAGAACAGCTCGCAGGATTGTGAGAAAAAACAATTCAAAACCCACGTTTGACTGCACGATCCCTCCAGAAAGATCTGGCAGACACTGGAGTTGTGGTACACTATTCCACTATAAAGAGATACTTGTACAAATATGGTCTTCATGGAAGAGTCATCAGAAGAAAACCTCTTCTACGTCCTCACCACAAAAATCATCGTTTGAACTTTGCAAATGAACATATAGACAAGCCTGATGCATTTTGGAAACAAGTTCCGTGGACCGATGAGGTTAAAATTGAACTTTTTGGCTGGAATGAGCAAAGGTACGTTTGGAGAAGAAGGGGCACAGAATTTAATGAAAAGAACCTCTGTCCAACTGTTAAGCATGGGGTTGGATCAGTCATGCTTTGGGGTTGTGTTGCAGCCAGTGGCACAGGGAACATCTCACGAGTAGAAGGAAAAATGGATTCAATAAATATTCAGCAAATTTTGGATGGTAACTTGATGCCATCTGTGAAAAAGCTGAAGTTAAAGAGAGGATGGCTTCTACAAATGGATAATGATCCTAAACACACCTTGAAATCCACGGGGGATTACATCAAGAGGCGTAAACTGAAGGTTTTGCCATGGCCTTCACAATCTCCTGACCTCAACATAATTGAAAATCTATGGATAGACCTTAAAAGAGCAGTGCGTGACAGACAGCCCAGAAACCTCAAAGAACTGGAAGACTTTTGTAAGGAAGAATGGGCAAAGATACCTCAAACAAGAATTGAAAGACTCTTGGCTGGCTACAAAAAGCGTTTACAAGCTGCGATACTTGCCAAAGGGGGCAGTACAAGATATTAACTCTGCAGGGTGCCCAAACTTTTGCAGACGCCATTTTTTTGTTTTCTGTTATTTTGAAAGTGTAAATGATGGAAATAAAATCTAACTTTTCTTGACATATTATAAGAATGTCTAATCTGTAATTTGATGCCTTTTGGAGATTTTTCCATCTTTCCTTGGCTTCTTTATGCACATTAATACAAATTTTTAGCTGGGGTGCCCAAACTTTCGATCCCCACTGTATATGTAAACGTAAAAAAAATATATTTCATTTTTTTTCTTTAAGAGGGAGGGATACAATTAAAAAAAGGTTGTTGAAGTGAGCATAGTTCTGCTTTAACCCATGTTACACTTCAAAAGCTGCCAATCCAAATATTAAAGTGGAGCTCCACCCAAAAGGGGAAGTTCCGCTTTAAGGACTACTCCCCCCCCGCTCCCCATTAAGGATTGGCACCTTTGGTGGGGGGCGGGTACCCGAATTTGACAGGTACCCGCTCCCACTTCCGGTCCGATCACCTAGGCGATCGGAAGCTGAAGGTGTCCTTCTTCCCTCCCTCCCTGTAGTCTTTTGAGACACGTGACAGGTTCCAGAAGACTACAGGACCATTCATGAAGGGCAGCGCTACTCGCGCATGCGCAGTGGATACCTGGCTGTGAAGCCGCAAGCTATCACAGCCAGGTGCCCACACTGAAGATGCCGGCCTCCTGGAATACAGGACGGCTGGTGAAACGGGCTGCGGGGGACACACCATGGGACCGAGGGACAGGTAAGTGGCTTTTTTTTTTTAAAGTACAAATACTGTAGCTGCTGACTTATTTTTTGAAAGGGTGAGCGGAACTCCGCTTTAAGAACATTTGTGAGCTTGGCACACTAAGTGTATAAAATAGCTGCCTCTTTCCTCCTTAAAATTCTAGACCCCTGCTTCGGATTTATAATTTCAATCCAGTCTGTATGATGGATGCATTTGATCAGTATTTTCATATATGAATTAGAGAGCTGGTTTATGGCAAGGGCATGAAAGGACCGAAAATGCTGCAGCTATAATTTAGAATAATGTTCCCATTCTAAAAATCCTACCTCGCTATATGGCTCAGTGGCTAGATGCTTTTTTTATAGGTAGAACACACAAGCCATATTATATGAAGCCTGAATTAATAAGGCATTATTTCATGGCAGATCCATCACTTCCTCTGACCCCGGGTGTAACAAGAGCCCCTATTATACATATAGAATTTCTGAATGACTGTCATAGTAAGCTGATGGTAGCCGTGATGAAATGCAGGCAACACAAAGGCTCTTGCCGGAATGTGTTTTTTTTTTTGCGGACTCTAAGAATGAGGCCCTAGGAGTGGCATCCACATGCCATCACCGAGTGCTATTTTGGGTGAAACCCACGGGAGCTTCTGTAAGGACAGACACAGTTGCTAGGGAACTGCAGGAAGAGCAAAATCACATGTCACATTGTGCCATGCCTTGTATGCTGGATCAGTGGTCTGCAGCTTTTTCAGTGAATCAAACCAAACAAGGATGTTATTTAATAACAGAAAATATTGCAATTAAATGCTGCAACCAATCTGACATCTATTTATAGGTAGATCAGTGGCGGTTCCTTGTCATTGGTAGATAATCATTTACTCCATTAAAAATGCAGAAAGCCATCTCTAATAACCAATATTCTCAATCAGATCACAAATCCCCCCAGTACAGGACATTAAATAGAAAATTATGTCTGCAAAAAAACAAGTTTCAAATAGCAGAGCTAATCTCAGAACACATCCATTTGCCTTGATCCCTGTTTATATGCTTTCCTGTTGTCTCAGTATCTGAAATCTGATTGATTGCTGCACTTTGTATTTAGTCGCTGCAATGCTTAATTAAATATGCTCCTTGGGATTTTAATTAGAGCGAGATGCAGTGTGCATTGGGAAGAAACAATCATGACCACCGAAAAATATTCTTAGGCCACTTTGATGGCTGAGTGTTTCGTAGCTTAAAAAGCAAAGCCGCAAAATGCTCAACATGAAAAAAACCCACATTTTGGCTTTTGGGCTCATATCTTTTATACCAATTATTGCAACTAGTGTACTTTACTCCCATGCATCATCATGGCTTTGGGTTCCACTGAATGCATGTGCTATATTATACAGTGAGGAACAGAAGTATTTGAACACCCTGCAATTTTGCAAGTTCTCCCACTTAGAAATCATGGAGGGGTCTGAAATTCACATTGTAGGTGCATTCCCACTCTGAGGAAAAGAATTTAAAAAAAATTCAGGAAATCACATTGACTGATTTTTAAAGAATGTATTTGTCTTGCACTGCTGAACATAAGTATTTGAACACCTAAGAAACAGCAAGAATTCTGGCACTCAAAGACCTGTTACTGTGCCTTTAAAAAGTCCACCTCTACTCCACTCATTAATATAACTTAGTAGCACCTGTCTGAGCTCTTTAAAGACACCTGTCCCCCACAGTCAGTCAGACGCTAACTACTACCATGGGTAAGACCAAAGAGTTGTCAAAAGACACCAGAGACAAAATTGTGGACCTCCACAAGGCTGGAAAGTGCTATGGGGCAATTGCCAAGCAGCTTGGTGAAAATAGATCAACTGTTGGAGCAATTGTTAGAAAATGGAAGAGGCTAAAGACGACTGTCAGTCTCCCTCGGACTGGGGCTCCATGCAAGATCTCACCTCGTGGGGTATCACTGATGATAAGAAAGGTGAGGAATCAGCCCAGAACTACAAGGGAGGAGATGGTCAATGACATGAAGAGAGCTGGGACCACAGTTTCAAAGGTCACTGTCGGTAGAACACTACGCCGTCATGGTTTCAAAGCATGCATTGCACAGAAGGTTCCCTGCTCAAGTTATCACATGTCCAGGCCTGTCTGAAGTTTGCCAATGACCATCTGGATGATCCAGAGGAGG